GTCCGGTCGTCAATAAAACCTCCCAAGTATGTTTTTAATATTTGTTAATTCAAAACTAACCCCGGTTAATATTGAAAATTTAGGCTTAAAATACTGGTGTGAGCGGAAGCAATTTAGGAAAACCTCTCGACTAATCTACTGTATTTCGCTAAGTAGTTGCTCAATTTTGTTGATAAATGGGCGAGAAATGCGGACTGAGATAATCCGGAAATCAGGGCTTTTTAAGGGCTGCGGTACAGTGTGATTTATTTGCACAAACATTTGATAAAATATGGGGAAGTCATCGTTCACGGCACTACAGACGACCTGTAAGGAACTTGACGAGTCCACGTGGAGAGTTGGTGTTGACTTATTCGATTTCCTCTGATACCAATCTCTATCGAGGCGATATTAGTTCGATTTCAACAACCGTTGATGGTAACATACTGAAGAAATGGGACAGTTTATCGTTAGCAGGGAAGGTTGATCCCTTTCATGGGTGATGTTTGGAAGTTGTAATCTTGTATCCAGGTAGCCATGTATAACAAGTGTGCACGTATCTCCGAAATTCACAGTCAATTCCCCGCTATTTATAGCTCTCCTATGTTGCGAATGCTGCAACATTAATGCAATTAACTGAGGAGGTTATAAGATTAACACATATCAGGTGTCATTCAGTTTTAGTTAGATTGGAGAAGCCACGTAAGTAGTACCCAAGGTCGTAATGTCATCGGCACATTATCAGACGGCTAACATGTAGCAATAAAAGCCCATTCATGGAGTGCTTCCGTTGGAATCCTTGATTACAACAAGTGGCATTTGACGACAAATAAAGTCATTTACTAAAGGATACTTATGTAAGCCACTGTGAAGTGGCGTTACATAGCACACTTAATCAGGGTTAAATGACGATCTGCATGCTGTCTTACACACCCAATGTTCTCATAAGAGCTGAATCTGCCACCTTGTTCAAGCGACCCTTGGCAAAACGAGAGTGGCCTAGCTTACGCATGTTTGACCACCCAATCGCAGTTGCAAGTCGCCTAGATGCGTCCAATGGCACATACACACACACGCACACGTGTTTTGGACACTGGACAACTCGCCAATTAGTCACCCAAGTGGCCTGACGGCTTGTGTGCGCATGCTTAGGATGAAACCTAATAGCCTTGCTTGTGGGTTCGTTTGCGCGGTTGGCAACGCTGTGATCAACTCAGAATCCTCCATCGACTGATGCTGTTGCAGCGAAATACCAAAGCACCTCGTCTGGCGCAGGACCACTGTCAATGTAACCGCTGAAATGGTTGACAAAGCCGATCCCACACAGGTTGACGCCCGTCAAAGGTCGGTTTTAGTGATAGTCATCGGAGCCCAATGCATCCCACCGACAACGACTGGGTGTGGTGATCAGGCGTTGTCCATGAACAGGGCCGCGGCGGGCTAGGGGAGTGTGTCTTTTGCCTCTTCTTAGCCGGGAATCTGTTTCTACTACTGGCCGTGTTGCCCCCGGTTTAACTTCATGCTTCCATGGTGACAGTTAAAAACAACCGAAAGGGGTCTCAGTAATTAATTAATCTGATGCACACCTTGCATTTCATTAGGACACGATTATACCTAACTTAGGAAATAATCTTCAATCCAATGACCGATTTCGTAAAACAACTTGAACGCGACTGTGGTACGGCAGGACGAAAAGCCCAAGGAAGATGGTGTTATTGAAGCTCGTGTTGCAGAGCATGGAACAATCCCCAGTCAACGACAACTCTAGTTTAACATGGACACCTTAAGAACGCAGAATCTCAAATAAATTTGAATTTGGTTGGCAATGACATAACGCCACTGGTCGTCTTCTTTACTCCTATGTGTTTCGAATAAATTGCAGCCAACAATGCTAACAGTCGCAAAATGTCAATCGGACAACAGTAGTTTTTACTCGAGGTAATCCTAACCGAACCTGGCATAATGAAACGACTGAAAGTTGTCTAAAATTCAAAGTACATTTGTAGGTAAAACTGGAGGTTTCAATTGACTCAGAGCTAGTCTTTCAGACAGGCCTTCCAGGTTGAAGATGTGGTTACTGTCTTCTATTTGTCACAGAGACACTGCTGGTTCGTCTTTTTAGCACTCTGTTAGCCTTCCTTCTGCCTGCTAGGCGGTGAATGCGCCAGTGCAGCGGTCTCGCGACTAACCTACTTGGTCTCTGTACAGAGCCGAATGATTTCACATGACAGGTGTTGAGTTGTTACGAGTAATTAACAAATCGATGGAAAGGTGGAGCCGTGATGTGTGCTTAACGAGGTACAAGAGAGGGCTTAGGTGATGTAATAACTTCATTTAGGAACCAGAACAATTTCGGTTTGATTGATAAAGTTGCATTATTTTAAATCAGACGTCGTTACTCGAGGTGCTTGTGTCCTCCTACTAACAATGTGTGCTATAGGCGTGATTTTCAATTAAGACACAATTATATATATGCTGTGGTCGTCGATTTAAAATCTTGGGAACTATTTTTTTTGAAGATCGACTTTAGGATACAATCCACCACCACAGATAATGCTTTCTCCAACTACTTGTCCTTTTTGCCTGTTCCTAATTAGAAAAAAAACAAGCAATGCGTATCCACCAAGATGGAACATGCATGTCCTTTTCTATTATTTGGCAGTCTGCATGCTGTCATCAGATTTTCAAAAAAATGTTGCGCTTGAAAGGACATCAGTTAGATGCTGAACGCCCTCACGTCTGCAAATTCACTATACCACGTGTAGGTTGTCGTGGGGATAGTGCGCTTGATAGGGTTACTCCGGGACCCCTGCTGACATTTTTATCATAACTCAGACTTTTACTTTGAACCTTTTAGCTACGTGTCCCACTTCGAAGGAGCCTTCATCTACTTCCTTTTCAAGGGCATCACAGTGCTGCTCTTCCAAATTTAAATGACGCGAAAACTGTACAGATAGTTGACAATCATTACGACCCCTCGCCCAAATGAATGCCTCTATCTGCCTTGTGATTGGTGAAGGCCTACATTTGATTTCTAATGCAATTCGTGAAATGGTCCATTTTAAAACTTAAAACATTCTTTATGATTGTTTATGTTTATTCATCCATGTAACAAAGGTGGTCTACGATTCATTATGTACCGTTGAGAGTCTCAAAGGAGGGATTTCCAGAGAAACAGAAATTTGGCTGACAAAAGCCACAGGCGGTATTAGTGCTAATAGGGCGAATCCTTGAGTTACTGAGCTGGCCGAAAGTACGTAACCATGATCCGAAAAGTCCGAACCTCATCACAGTGGGTCAGATACGCAGTAAAGGGGACTGGTTTGAAAATAAGTGCATTACTGGTTAAGATTAGGGCAGCCTTTCATACCAGTAAGTAGTCCAACATTGAGAGCTTCGAAATTAAAGCTACAAATTCAATTAACAGAATTTGAGCACTATGAACAGGCGTCACAGTTCTAGAGGTAGAATAACCCAATTGATGTGGATTATTTTCTTGGTTTTTTTGAGATGTTGACAGGGGACGAAATCACTCGTGTACATGAGAGACAGCAAGCCGTATTGAGATTTCATTACTGTTGATACTCAGGTCAGTTGCATTCGAACGTCCCTCGTTCTCACTTTGACCATTGCTCAGACGCCGCGTATGACTTGAGAAAGAACTGATGGTGACTAGGGTTATGGATCCAACTTCCACTGGTGCAACTCAGCTTCTTTGACCAATTGGAGGGTCTATTAATTGAAACCACCCCAGAACTTAAGCAAGCTCCCAATTTCTGGATTACTAAGAAGAACCTTGTAAGACAAGTTACAACTTTCTCTCATCTTTTAAAGCCTATACACCTGTGGTAGTTTAAAACATAATTGCATTATCTGCAAAACGGACTGTGATACGGGTCTAAAAAGCTCAAAATAGGACTCCACGACTTACTGAGCTTCCCTACGGTCTTAATTTAGCAGCGACATGGGTGTGAATGCCCTTTATTTACATCGGTCTACTAATTTCGCCAATCGTCGATCAATTTTAGGGTGGAAAACCGAAAAATGCGAACAACTGACAAGCCGATATGTGGAGCTAGGCTTTTTGCAGGGCCGTACACAACATTCCTTAGTTTTATGTTAATTCCATAATAGCAACACTGACAGACCCAACTACATCAAAGGCCTCAACGTCTAATCGAAACACATATCAAAAACTGGTGTCTTAATTTCCAACGCCTACACGTGAGGGTTGTCGTACACCATTTAGGAGAAATATGGCTAAAACAGACGGATTGAGGAAGCCCGAAGGAACTGTCGTAACACGTTCAAAAGGTAGTCCTTGAATTGCGATTTCCTCGCATGATTATTGGAGGCAACTTCCCACACCTTATCTTGGGAATCTCATACAAAAACCTTCTAAGGAACGTCTACAATAACTCTAGCCCAGTACTTGTTCTCCTGATTTAGTGGACAAAAGAGGAATTTTCGAGAAAGTGACTCACTTTTGAGTCAATTCACTGATGACCCTATTTTCAAGGCTAGACCAAACCGTGTAATGAGCCACTAAGGCCATCCCAGGCCAAACATATTTGATTGAAGCAAGATCCGGACTAGAACACTTGTGACAAACGCAAACCCCGGCTCCGTATTCTGGGCGCTTGGAATAACGAACCGCCAACGCGTTGACTCAGCCAACTTCACAGCCTTTCGACGGAGCCACGACGGCCGGGAGGCGCGATCACAAAGCCCCTAAACCAACGCCTGTGAATAGAACGGCGTGCGAAGCAGTCAAGGCCGAGCGCCCGTCCAACACCAGAACTGGTTGCGAACATGTCACTGGCTTATTTTCCCACCAATCAGCATTCAGCTACACGCAAACATCGACCGGTTCTCGTGGTACAGACATACCAAAGAGACACGGACACACAAACGCACGTTCACATTCGGGTACACGACAGGGGAGTGTATCATTTGGCTTTGTCCGGTGCGTGGTTTGCGTCTGTCTCTTCGGTGGTCCTGAATACATTCGCGTTGCAAGCATGTCTGAACGCAAGGCTGTAATAAAAAATGCCGACATGAGCGAGGAGATGCAGCAGGATGCTGTCGCCGTGGCTGGTCAGGCTCTCGAAAAGTTTAACATCGAGAAGGATATTGCTGCCTACATCAAAAAGGAATTCGATAAGAAGCACTCTCCAACCTGGCATTGCATTGTGGGCCGAAACTTTGGAAGGTGAGATACAATCGCTTTTGTATATGGTTATAAAAAGCAGCGTTGTCAGCCGGGAATCACGTCGTTCACCGGGAATCTCACTTCTTGTGTTTCATTAATTCTAAAAACTGAGTGTACATATTCGGGAACTAACTTGAACCAGGGGGGTTAATTTCATCCTTTTTCATTGTAATGCAAGGATTTGTCGCAGCTTTGGTAGCACTACCCTGCAGTCCCGCTAGTTAAGAGTCCTTAATAGTTCGAGAGGAAAGCCGCGACCGATTACCACCCAAGTCTTTTATAGCAGAAAGTGTGAGTGAATATCGAAGGTCAGCTGTAATCGATAATCGATGCCATTCAATCAGCTCGTGAATAGGCTTCGCTTACTCGTTTAATAGAATGTTCACTGGATTTCCATGTTTGTAGTCCACAGTAGTTTAAGTTGGTTGTTATGAGCTGGTACCTTCGTAGTACGAAGTAAGCTAGGCAATCCTGGCGACCGGATTCCCGGGACGTGATTACTTTCGCGGCATATTCCCCGCTTCGAGGTTGTGGAAAAGCGTTTAAAGGCTGTCACGTTCTCGATTGTATCCTAAAATGCTTTACTTCCTTGGATCTCTACTTCCTTGTTCTACAATTTGACTACCTTGACCAATTGCTGTTACTTAATTCCACCGGGTCTAACGAGTTCATGAAATCCTTTTATCTCCTATTTATTTTTCGAGTTAGGCCTAACGTATGCACTCATTTCTGATCACTAGGCTACATCCGTTTATAATTGCCTTTTACTGCTCTCATTGACTCAAAGGCCGTTGTAACGCATTCGTTAGCAGGCCATCCATACTTGGTTATCCGTTCCTTGTTTTCAAACCGTGGTGAAATGCGAAAAAGACTAACGGCGTTCGACTACCACGTTTTCTGCGTCCAGGCGTTGATCGAGTTCTAGCAAAAACAACTGGGCTCTTTATAATTGATGTTCCACACACATTCCACAGACGCAATCATCGTTTTCGAATTACTAGTGGTAACTAGTGTGCTTCAATTAATTTTTATGCCGCCAAGGGATTTTAACCAGTATACTTAGTCTTTTTTTTTAATGAGCCAAAAGCACTGTTTTTAAGGACAATCTGACCTTAGTTTAATGCCTCGACAACAACCCAATGTGCGAAATTTTAGGCGGAATTCACTTCACTAGCGTGAAAATTGAATTGCAACCGAAAAAATTGTAACCAGCGCCGTGAACCGCGCCTCTGTCCGTGTGACCTCGTTATACCCATCAAAATACGCTTCCTGTGGTGAATTTATTTGTTTTGTGAAGATCAACTAAGTTTGTTTTCCAACGAACTCGGTTTGGTGGCTCAGAGGTCCGTGGGCTATTTTCCCACCTAGGCGTTTGACCAGCCAATAAAGCTGCTTTTTCGGATGACTACCTCTTCGCTTACCTTCTTCGTATCAAGGAACCACACTACTCGTTACTTCTAACATACTGCTAGGCCTTTCCATCGCATTGCTTTCGCTTATAATCGTCGTCGATAATTAATTTTTCTGAATTTTTACTTGGGGAATATGATTTCCAGAGGCCGTTTGCGTTGAGTTTGCTGTCGATAAGCCCTTTAAGTAGGTCTGTACATGGCGGTGTTTAGTGGGAAAACTAATAACTACGTGTTCCGTCCGTGCAGTAGTGGACGTGCAATGATTTCCCTGTTGAACCGAATAGTCAGCGCCTTTTCAGTAGCTACTTAAGGGTCTAAATGTACTTGCGTATGGCAGCGGTACTTGGACGGTGGGGACAATGTGGCCGAGAAACTAGATTTTAAGCGATCCGACTGCATTACTATGTTGTGTAACCGTACATTTCATTGGTGTACTTAAGTAGCTGCAGACGTGGTTTATTTCGCGTTAAATCAAACAAAGCAGTTCGCATATTTTGATTTGTTCGAGTCGACTGCCGCCTCGAGTATTTATCTTTGCAAACTGCGAACTTACCTTAGGATTTTATCCACCCCAGCAGTCTGACTACCATCAGTGTTGACTTCATTTGCGCCTGATCATCTAACGCGCAACCATTTGCTTAGGTGACTGTGGTCGATTGCTCCGCGTCTGACCTCGTAGCTACTCCTTACGTGTTGGTAATCGTTACGCCGTTACTATTTGGGCTGCTCGCCACCGTTGTAAGTGCGCTTGGTTCGTGCGTGGATCACTGGTGTTTGTAATGTACGGACACTTGACTTACCACCGCACGACCACTAGGTCACGGTCGCAAAATACACAAGAATGTGGTCCTGTCTTGTGCTAAGGTAAAGTATTCGTGGCTGTTTGTAGGCTTATAATCTCGCACCCACGCTTCCGCTTGTTTTTCAGGCTTGAATGTGGGTACTGTTTGTGTACTTCGAGCTGTCATAAACATACTTCAAAGACGGATTGCCGAAAAAAGCGCACTTGTTATCGTCTTGTTTTCTGCACATATATAGTTTTTTGTCTGGTTTAATTCGTATCCAGGGGTTGTTATGGCCTCAATGCAAGCTCTTAGTTCGCGGTGTTGCATTTTCTATGCAAAACTTTGGAGAATTTAGGTCAGTCTTAGCCAATCTGAGGGTGAGGTCATCGGTTGTCGTGTACACAACTGCATATAGCTTCGCGAATTCTCGTGTCTTTTGAGTCACCACAATGCGATCGGATACCACATCGAATGAATTGAGGCCCCATGGTGGTGAGCAGCAAATGGTGAAAGTTGCTCAACGCAATGAGTTATCAGCACTTTGTAAGCTTCTGCGGATCCTACGTAAGAAGCCCATCAAGCGCTGAGAATTCATACAATTGTAAAAATGGCGCCGATTTGAACAGCGCCCGTAACATCACCGAGCAGCTCCTTTTACGTACTGTGTCGGTTTCGTGATTTGTACCGTCATCGAGTTGTCAAGGCTTGGTTTAGGTACTTCTTTCGGGTAACTTATTTGCAATGCATCCTGGGGAATGACCCTTATGCACACTATGGAAATGTGGCCCTCAGAACTATGCAAATTAGCGCGAATATGCATACGCTGGTGTCCGTTAGCTACGGCACAATCTGCGAAGTAAATTTGATAGCCGACCGCTCAGCGCGTTTTTATGGTTGCGCTTGAGTTTTCGCTGATGCGACCATAAATGGCCCCGGCAGCAGTCAGTACGGCCACCACGTTTTGGATAAAAGTATTCTTGTGTACATAGGTTATTAGTCAAGACGGCCAGGAAAGTGCGAGTTACTGATTTCTGCCGAATATTATCACCAATGATAATAGACACCATGGACGTTGACTCGGCGCAAACTTGTCCCTTAAGGGCTTGAGATGAACCCCAAGCCAAGGTGATGAGGGCAGTGTTTCCACGCCGTTGTAGTAACCCGGTCTCTTTCATTTTTAGCTACGTTACCCACGAGACTCAGCACTTCATCTACTTCTACCTGGGCCAGGTGGCGATCCTCCTTTTCAAGTCGGGCTAGTCTGCCATCAGACAAGCACAGAAACAATTATAAGTACAACAAATCGTCTATTTGTGTATGTGTGAATAAGTTCGTTTTCGCGGTGGGTCCAATCACCATCGACTCTCCTTTCCCCCTTGTGCACGTTAACGTTTCCACTTTTTTGCAATAGAACTGGATACGGCGAGGTACTTGTTCACTTTATAAATGGTGCGATGCGTGATTGGGGGGGGGGAAGTCCTTTTGGTGTGCCTAGACTCTCGGTTCGCTGCTCTCAGGTAGACACACTGAACAGCCTCGTATTATCGATGGGTCCCAACATCATACTGATTGTCTTGTTTGGGTGGTGGAAGTTTAGGCATCCATGTCGGTGGGATCGCCAAGTCGGTTTATCACGCTCATAATCAGTATGCTCTGTTTTAAGCCACGAAGGCTTGTAATCTCCATTCCCGTGCTGATTCTTATCAGCCTTTTTATCTGAGGGGTTAAACGTGTTATTTCACCATTTAGTTTATCGATTTGCTGTCGGGCTGTCTATTATGTTGCCCGCTTTGTCAAGCGGTTGTAGAGCAAAGGTTTTGGTAGGTCTACAAAACCTAAAAACGCCAAGTATCGCCCTATTAAATGTGCTTTGTTGCTACATGGAATCGCGGGTGATGGCTTGCCGCTAGGGTGTAGGCGAACAAACGACGTGACACGATCGTTCGTTCATTGTGTTCGCTGGGTTGCGTTGAGTCATCGGTGTTTGTGTGAGCGAGGGACGGCTGTACGAGCGCAGAGGGTGTGAATGGTTGCCAAGGTTTGTGGCTGGAGAGGAAAGCTCAAACAAGGGCGAATATAAACGTGACCAGGCCTTGTGTCGGGTCACGCATTAGTCGTGTTAATCACGTGACCTGGGCTATATCTTTCAAGTGACAGACCATATGGTGGGTTCTTGCTAGCTGTGTGGCCGGATTCGGCACATTTAATATCGACACTGGGGTATGTTGGAGTCTCCGAGTGCACTACTGTCGTTCAGATCTACATCCCGCAAGTGTGGGAAAACTCGCCGTGCCAACAAGAACTCAGGTCCACCGTAGCTAACATCTTCAATGCATAACTTTATTTCGTATCGTTTTATCCTAACTGGTGGGGGGGGGGGGGTTCGGGGCTGAGACGAGCCATCCCTTGCTTGCGAAGGATGCGACCGAGCAACTATCGATGGAACTCGGATGTTCCCTCTTATTACGAAGCACGTCTTCCCTCGGGAGGTCGCAGGTGTGCGGTAATTTACCGATGTTTGCAAAACTAATTACGTGGCTGTCGCCGCGCGATCAGCAATGCCTGGCTCAGTTCCAGGTCTTTGTTATTCCATTTGTCTTATTGTATTAACTTCTCCCAGGACCTTTTTCTGTTCCAGCTCTACCGCTTGTAGGTCGCCTAGACTGTAATCGGATTCCCGAGGGTCCTTTTGTCAGATAGTTCCCAGATTACTTAACTCGGCTGACTCACAAGGCACCGTCCTGTACAGTTGTTCGTGATGCTAGAAAACCAATAGCACAGGCCCATTCAGAATGTGATTTTACTGAGCTTTTACAAATCAACGTTTAGCGATATCCATATCACAATTAGCAGACCTAACGCCAAGTATGCCCTGTCCGCACTCCTGCGCCGCACACAGTCCAGGGGCTGTCTGCGTCTGATTGGCTTCCCTCGCGACCGGACGTTTTCTTCGCGCACATTTGATCCTACCACCAGGTTGCTCAGAGTTTGATTTAAACACATAATTTACGAGAGCATTGCTCCTGCCGTTTGCTGACGGGCTCACTATTGTCACACTCTTCAAACCCGCCCTGCCGCCAACACTCCTCGGTTCCCTAGGTTGTGGTTGCTATTTTTATTCATCAGTCCTTGTAATCTCCGTTAGCCGTGAAGATTGTAAGGTTGGGTGAGGAGAGGCGTGTGGTAGCAGCATCCACTTTTGCACTCAGTTTGTCTCCATATCGATTTTTTTACCAATCAGGCCATGGTCGCGCAAACAACCTTAACGCACGACACCCCCACGTCCCTCTTGTCAGGGTGGAGACCGTGAATCGCATGAACGGGTCGGAGTGAGAGCGTTGCGCGCGTTTGTTTTGCAGGCCTAACCTGGCGTGGGCCTTTAGCTGGTTAGCCTGCATCACGTGACTGGACGTGAGGCCACCAGCATGCTGTGGTCTCGCTAACACATCACTCACAACCCACTGGCCAGCTGCTAGTTTGACCGCTCAACGACTGCGGACGTGTGCGGACGCTAAAACATCGTTTGGCCAATCCAACGCCAGTCATCAGTCATGGGATTCCTCCAACTAGAAAAACAGCTTTTGGTAGCGAGTTAGTTATGGAGTTCAGGGGAATTGGCTTGTCATGGTGATTTTTGGCGCGTTTTTATCATATCGGAGTGTCCGGGAGGCTTCTTTACAGCGCAAAGCGAGGTATCCACGCTCAAAGTGGCTACTTACGTCTGCGCGGGTTTTCAGATCCCAACAAAAAACAGTCAACACGACCTGAATTTGGCTCTTAGCAGTGTAAAAGTGATAAGAAGGGAAGCAGAGTCGTGTTCAGCATTGAGTAGTGGCCGTGTCGATACCGCTTGACCAGATTTGCCGGAATACGCCGCGTGAGATAGAGTTCTAAGCTTCATTTGGTGAGACTGTGCATTTTCCCTGACACGATGTTTTGTATTTGCGTGACTGAGGCCATCGACTCCCTGCCTTGAGACGGCTCATTTGAGAGCTTGGCGACTAGTACGATGGTGAACGTTGTTCTAGAGCAATGGCCCGTGTCCTGTGCCGACTTCCCCATTGGCCACGGTAGTCCTAGTCGCAACCAATTTTATTAGTTTGCTTTCATGTCGATTACAAGGACGCACAGCAGGTCGAAGTTCTCTCAAACTACTGGTATGGCGTCACAACCTTTGTCTTTTTTGAGGACAGGCAGCTCTTGACAAAAGAGATACAACTGGAGCCATAAGACCATCACGAAAAACTTATGCCTTATAGTAAAACTTGCTGGTGTATCTAGGCCATCGAGTTAAGGCACGAGTCCACCCTGTGGAGGCATAGGCTACCACGATTAGTATCCATTTAGGCAAAAAAAAACAGACGAGAACAATCAGACGAGCGTGCACAAGGAGCCTTCTTTTGTCAATGCTCTTGGCCCTTTCTCTCAACCGCTGCAACAGCTAAGAGACAATGGGATTGGACGTAAGGGAAGGGGAATCAAGGGTTGCAGGGAAAATCACCATAAAAATACACAAGCAATTTTGGAATAAAGGTCTGAATTTTGTACAGCTGACACATGTTTTCGCACCAACACTATGATATAATTTAAGCTGATCACCTTGTTGATTAAGTGTGTTTTAAAGTGATGAATCGAGGCGAAGCTAGCGCTTGAAGACGTGGTAACGCGAGACGTCCGCGGCATAGAGTTGTTCCAGGCCGATGGGTGTTTTCTCGACGATTCCACTGAAAAGGACCGGTCCCGGATGGACGCTGACCTCCGATCCACTGCCAGTTGGCGTGGGCAGCAGGATGTCGCGAATGGGAAGCATCGTTGCAATTTGTGAACGCACCATTATCACCAACTCACCCGAGTAACTGCGTGGCTAAAACACGAAGAAAATATCTGCATTGACCACAACTGGTGTACTCATCCCGTTCAAGTCGATGTGGGAAAACTGACGCCTCGACGTGGAGTAAGCCGGCTATGCTAGGCAGTGGCTAGTCAGTGTGGAATTACTACTGCGTCATACGATCGGTTCCTCGTCGACAAGTTCAGCTGGAGTACATGTGACGTTGTTTTATAGACACTTCTTGCGTATTTGTACTGCCTGTTTTTGGTTATCGTGGTGGATTTAAAGAACAAAAGCGATACAAGCATCTTACTACTGTGGGGGGGGGGGGGCCAGCGGG